AGGCAATATGGCTGTTAACACGTGCTCGCCACTATTAATATTTGACTTTCTTTGTTGTTGTGTCTAAGACTGTTTACTTTTCTAAGAACACCAATATAACAGCCTGTCTAGATGATGCTTAAAAGACATGTGACTTTTCTAAACGGTTATCTGTCTTTTGTTAACAATTGCATTTTCTTCTTGTTATGAGAGAGCTTCGTTTGTCGTGTAAAAGAGATTATAATACCTTAAACGTGTGTTGTAAAATGTTCTACTCGACAAACAGATGTTACAAGCAAGCGGTCATGACTGTAAAAAAGAAAACACGAGGGGACCAAAGTCGAGTGAGATAATATACGTATGAATAAGAAAAAAACGAACTGCATGATATTTGCTGATTGAAAATATGTATTACGAAATATCCACATATACTTGCCATAATCCTCAAACGGTTATTTTTTAATCTAATTTCCACTCTTCATATATTAAATTTCTGCAACACAATTGGGTTCAGATTCTAGATAATGTAGAACAACGTATAGGTCCATTATTTTCATAATAACATCTGAAATGCTTTTAATATTAATGGCATTGCCCGTAATCTTCACTGTTAAATGACCATCTCTTCAACATCTCTTCCTTATATATTTACATCTACATTTACGTAAAAAAAAAGAAATGTTAACGGTGATAATCTAATTTCAACAGCATATGGATTTTTTCCTACCTATTGTATGATAAACATTAATATAATAGGATAATAAGCACTATAGGCATTAGAGGAACCGCAGAATGGGGGAAATTATGTTATTTTAAACAATTTTCTGTATCATTTGCAGGTTTTTGTCCGTTCGCATCGAGACAAAACAGAGGCTCAGGTGTCTTCATTCAACGTGAGTCTGCAACATTCACGGTTGTTTGATGTTCATATTTGTCAGGAGAGTAGGAAAATGAGTACATACAGTACACTTGCACTCACACACACACACACACAAATACATACACGTACACATACATACATACACACACACACACACACACACACACACACACACACACACACACACACACACACACACACACACACACACATACACTGTATCTCTCTGATGTCATCCAGTTAATAAAAATGGTGGAAGAGGAGGAAAAGGAAGAATAAAAAGGGAAAGAAAGTTAAGAAGAAAAAGAAGAAAGAGAGAAAAAAAACGGAAAAGGCGTAGAACAGAAGGAGAGGAGGGAGAAAGAAAAAAGAAGGAGACAACGAAGAGAATAAGAAGAAGACAAGAATAAAATAATAATCTTCTGAAGAGGAAGAAGAAGTAACAGACGATGCGCAGTAATCACATGACTGCAGTTAAACATGACTCTGTGAGATTTTTTTTATATTAGAAAGTTTAAGTATATGTAAATGATGCGAAAATCTTGTGATAATATCTAGCATGTTTCATTAACGAACTCTTTACCGGGCACAAAATTCCCATGGATTCAGTGGTAAGAGAAATTATTAGATAAAGTATAACAGGAAAGTAATAAAAAAGAATAAAAAGTGAATTGAAAAAAATGAATTAGTATGTGTATGACAGGATAGCATTTTGTTGAATAGATGTGTAATTGTGTGTGTGTGTGTGAGAGAGAGAGAGAGAGATAGAGTGAGAGATAGAGATAGAAAGAGAGAGAAAGAGAGAAATAGAAGGTGAGAGAGATAGAGATAGAGATAGAGAGAGAGAGAGAGAGAGAGAGAGAGAGAGAGAGAGAGAGAGAGAGAGAGAGAGAGAGAGAGAGAGAGCAACAGATACAAAGACTGAAAGTATTAAACACAGACAAAATAGCTTAATAGTAATGACGCAAAGATCTACGTGAACGTATATTTTTTTGTGTCATAAAAAACTGTCTCACTGACATACTCTTCCTCTCAGTTTCTCCCCTCACTCTCTTCTTACTTCCCCTCTCTCTCTCTCTCTCTCTCTCTCTCTCTCTCTCTCTCTCTCTCTCTCTCTCTCTCTCTCTCTCTTTCTCTATTCATCACTCTCTCTCTCTCTCTATCTATTTATTTATCTATCTATCTCCCCCTCTCTCCCTCCCTCCCTCCTCTCCCTCCTCTCCCTCTCTCCAAACCCACATCCTCTTTCATCTCTTCTCTCAGGAGCGAGTTTAAGAGAACACTGACTGCTTTCTTCCTCCTGCGGCAAATAAGAAGCATCAGTTGCATAGACAGACAACTTGCTCGGTCAAGATCACTCCCGCCAGATGTTGTTTTGGGGTCGTAACGGGAAAAAAAAGGCGCCGGTTTTGTATTCGAATTGTGCGGAGGGATACAGGTGTAAATAGGTCGATGTTTATGTGGTGCGTGATGGTTAGGTACTTGGTTTGATTTTCATTTTTTTTTTTTTTTTTTTTGGGGGGGGGGGGATGGCTGTCTACCTAGAAGGATATAAAGAGAAAAATTATTATTTATCTATTCATTTTTTATTTATTTTTTTATTTTTTTTTTTAAAGAAGAGAAGAGAATTGGAAGAAGAGG